CCTCGCGCTTAAGCGTCAGTGGTAGTTATTTGATGATTCAATGAATTTGGATGAATTTTTGAAGGGGTGTTTGAAACAACTCTTGGTGAAAATGTTGTTTATGGTTAATGAACACAAAAATACATTCAAATGGCTATTTAAAGGAGGAAACTCTTAGAAGGTTCATTGAATGTGGACACAATTTTGAAGAGACACCAAAGCACCTTTTGTAAAATTATAAAGGAAGAAAGGAGACTCAATTAGCTATCGCCGCCCCCTCTCTTAGAGACTTATGTTATCATAGAATTAGGATACTTTTAAAAAGAATAAAGGGAGGAGTTGTAGTGTGTTGGTTGAGAGTATTGTAAGAGAAGGGAAGAGAAGAGATTCAAAGGAACTTCAAGAGTTTGGTGGAGAGAAATTTGAGATAAGTTTTTATCTTTGTGACTATATTTTGTTTTAATTTAGACTTATTGTGTGTTTACATGATTTCTACTTTTAGCTTAATTGTTGTTGTGTTTTCTCCATGAATTATGAGTAGTTTTCTTTATCTTTTTCCTTAAAATGATAAGTAATTAAGTGTTGGATGGAAGTTGTGTGAAGTATTGGTCTTTAATGTTATAATAAGTTGTGATGATTTAATCCTTGCACTTTATTAACTTCTTGATTTGACCAATTAAGATGTTAATATATGTTGTGAGAACATGTAATATCCAAGATGATATTGTCTCAGTCAACTAATGGTAAGAATCATATGAGATTGTATGGATGAGAATGGAATTCATATGGTTTAGTGCAAATAAATAGAGAAATAAACTTTAAAGGGTGTAGAGTTAGAGGACTTTAGAATGATAGACTAAAGCCCCCAATTCAGTTTATTATTTTAGGTCTTGATAAGAGCTGTTAGCCCTCAGGTGAAGGGAGAAGAGAGAACTCTAGAGTGAGAGCTAGTAACTTCCCTACCTAGCCCGTCTTCAGGCTATTCAAACTTTAAATTAACCAATGTTCTTTATGGCATCTCTAGTAAAGGTAAAGAATAATATTTCTCCTACACAATACAATTTGAGTACTTTCACAACAGAATTCTTATACTTGTTACTGATTCATGATAATAAAAAAGATATTTTATTTATATAGCTTTTTTCTTACAAATATGTAGTTAAATTTAGTTAGATGTTTATTTTATTTTCAATTATAAAAAATTGCCAAAAAGAATCAAACTTTCATTCATATTATAGCATCTATAGTTTGAGTAAGAATATTTTTCAAATTGGAAATTGTTTTCAAATTTCACTTAAAAGAGTGTAATTCTCCCTGTGGGTTCGATATTCGGGGATAATCAAAAAGTCATATATTACTTGATAACGATACATATACTTGCGTAGTATCTCAATATTTAAATATAATAGTTGCACTCTTATTTACTTTGAAGTCAAGTTTTTGGCACCATTGTAAATAAAGAAATATAAATAAATAAAATTGAGAATATAACCACACCATACTTCGTAATTCGATAGTAAAAGTCGAGATCAGTCCCCAAACCTTGTCCAACTCAAGAGAGAAAATCTCCCTCATCCCTTAGGCAAACAAAATCCCATAATTTCAGCCTCTAGAATCCACCAAGCAGCCCCAATTTCAACCTGAAAACCAGGGCTAAATTTTGGATTGACATAAACCCCTCAAAAACTTCAATGTTACTCTTCTAAAAGCTTCCCTAAGCTCCACAAAGAAGAACCCAATCAAAATTGAGTTATCTTGTAAGCTCTAACCAACTACTAGGTGAAACCAATCCACCATTTCATTGAGGACATATCTCAACCCGATTTCACTTCAAATTGGACTGAGGAGGAGCTTCGCAAGGACCGAGTGATCGATCCTATTAAACTCAATTGAGGCTATGCCTCTTGAGACGATGTATGTGGCTTAAAACCTAAAACCCATGCTCAGTTTGGAACATTATGGAGAAAATCATTACACCAGTCTTACGTAACCATATGTTCGTCTATGTACGATGAAGCTTTAGAAACAAAAATCACTTACTTTGGTGAAAGATCCATGGAGACCTTGCGGTTTAAACACAAACGGATATCAATTTAAACACTTACATGGGGACGATCAACTGATGTCGTCCATTTCCATGTATCGAAAATGGACGTCCAAGATTAGATCGAATCTACACACTGTTGAAGGAGAAGCACGGGATCAATGTCGTCATGGATGCTTAGGTTGAAAGGTTCGTGACTCATAACTTGTTGTGTGACGCTTCAACGACTCCGAGGTTTGAGCTGGTGCTGCATCGGATAAATAGGAAAATATGATTTTCTTATTTAAATAATTTCAGAAAATCCCTAAAAACTTTAAAAATGCATATCTTTGCAAAAAAAAATAGATTTAGGAGACAAAGGAGAAACTTACAAAAATAAAATTGACAATAAAATGATTTATATTTAAATTTAAATTAATTAAATACTCTCTAGAGTATTTTAATTATTAAAAATTAAATACACATGATCATAATTATTACTCCTAATATTTTTACTTAACATAGAGAAAAACTCATTGCCTCCTACATTAAATCATATCACCAATCACCTGCCCTTCTGGTAATATTTTTGTATTCCCGTATTAGAGAAGCTTTATCAAGTGTTAGTCATGATCTTTCAATAGTCATTGTCGTTTGCCTATTCTAGAAATCACTCACTATGATAGCAATGAAGATAACTAAAAATGTTCAATTTATCCATTAATAACATCTTCAAGCTCTACAACTACAAAAGATTGAATGAATGACAAGAAAAGGTGATGCATTGCAACCATCGATTTCTTGTCATTTTTATGGAGCAACATGCAAAGATAGAGATGCAAAATTGGGAGTCAAAAAATTCTTGATTTTGGCATCCACAATCTTTTTCAAAATAATCAAAACTAATTCTTATGAAGCCTTTAAGATTAAAATGTAGCAAAACAAAGATAATTTTTAATTCAAAAATTAGTAATAATTATGATAACATTTACAACTTTTTTTGGTTAAGATTATCATTCAATCAAGTAAAATAAGTTCATTGGTTGAGGCATTTGGTTTATGAAAAGAATAACTTATTTGTATGGTGAATAATTGAAAATATTGTTTGGTTATAATTGGCTTAACTTTATTTTTTTAAACAAAATCATACACTACAGGAAATTGGCCAAACCAAGTTTATTTCTGATGCAAAAGGAGATTTGTGTCGGATTTGCATTAAAAAATGTTTTACGTTAGAATGGGCATATCTAATTGGCTTAGTGTCCACAATTGCGTTTTATTTTTTTGTCGACCTTAGCATCGAAAAAATCCGTCGTAACTTTTCATCGGCAAATTACTCAATGGATTGCTAACGTTGCACTTTCCCCAGCACTAGTGAACGCAAATTTGTGTGGACTTGTGTCCGACGCAAAGCCTAATTTTTGTGTACCATGCTTTATCTCAGGTGATTGAAGACTCCACCAGCAAGCGGTTGAACAACCGCTTGGTTGCCTCGCCGATCAAAAGAAAGGTAGCTGCCCTATCTCGAGGCTGGGCCTAAGTCTCTACAATCTCCTAGACCAGTTTTTGAGCTGACCTATGATAAATTGGATCTAGAGCTAGAATCATGACACCTGTGGTGTGCATGTCAACCTTGCTACCCATCTCACAATGGAGTGGCATTGAGTCACACAACTCGACCGCCTCCTCCACCTTTTATTTATTTTGTACCACATGCTTAACCAATTTTGCTCCCTACAGTAGACTCACTTTTCCTGGCCTGTTTGATCCGACTGGCCATCCTCCCTCTGACCTATTTCCCACCATCGGTCGACCCTCATCCACAAACTGCTTCTTTATCACCGACTGACAACCCTTGGGTTTCTTTTCTCCCCTGTGGGAGCGTGGAGTTTTTCAGTCGAAAGCCCAAATGCCTTCAGCATTGCTGTCTCATTCATAGATTTCTTACCGCTCTCCATTACTTTATTATGTCAAAAATCAAATAAAGGGCAGAAAATTTAAAAAGTGCGATGAAAAAATAATAATTACGCCCTATTTATAAGAATGTGGGCACATATATGCATGAAATTCAACTATTAGAAAAAATTTATTACGCAATAAATAAGTTAATTTTTTTTACATTTAATTCTCTTATTCCTATTGCAACTGCGCTTTTAAAAAATCAAAAAAATCAGGGAACTAAATATACACATACAAAATATGACAACACAAATCACAAAAGTATTCAACATATCTGGTTTAATGGACACCAAAAGACTGCAATGGGATAATCAAAAAATGGAGACGACAAGCATTATCTCCTTGTTCAGAACTATTGGTCAACCGAATGAAAGAACAGAAGACACCTGATCCGAGAGACAATCATTTGTAGCCAGCTCCGTCAACTGATTCCGGGTTTATTTCTTAGATACCTCTAGAACATATAAATAATGGGTCATTTCTTTGATAAAAAACTAATAAGTTTACTCTCAGAAATGGTGTTATTGTGCACTCCCGATCCTGTGTCCCTCTTGTCCATCTAACGCTCTATATCTTGGGCGTACTCCACAGGATATTTTTGGATTCAACATGTGTAAATGCACCAATTTATTAATACAGCCCAACAGAGTTCAAGAAAAGTTAAAAAGAGAAGAAGCAAAGTTGTAAATTTGAAAGAAAAAAAAGAGTACTCGGAGCTTACTCTCCCCACACAATTACCTGCAGCCTTATCAGATACTGAGTAATAAAAACTAGCACTCAATGTAAAAACGATATGGGCTGCAAGAAAAATTATTCCATGCAGACACCGCATGCAAAGATGCATGTGATGTCCGATCTACACCGTTGATCACAGCAAAGATGTATTTTGGTGGACCACGCTTTCAACTTTTTTTTCTTAAAATAAAATTTTGATTGCGGTGATCTACGGTGGAGATCGGACATCGCATGCATCTCTGCATGCGGTGTCCGTACGGAATAATTTCTCCGACTGCACTGTGCATGAGAAATTTTACCTTTGAAACCTTAACCGCAACAGAAAAGCTTTGCAATAGATAAGTTTATTTGTTCATGTCAACGTCACATAAATTGCTTAAAAGTTAAATAATATATCCCCTTGCAACACTGCTTGAATTGCTGAAGGCGTTTTGACAGAGCAAGGCCATAAACACCACTCTACGACACCTATGGACAACCCCTGCATGCTGATATTTACAGATCCTATTTACAGAAAATGAAAATGCATAAGATTAGCAATTTAAATGACTGCAACGGCTAAAGGCAAGCCTGCACTGCAAAAACTAATTTTCTCTGCTATTAAGTTTTATTCACAATTGCAGCTGTGGCTTCAGTGATGCTGCCCTTTACCAGATGGACCTGCTGCAGCTTTGGCAGCAGCAGTCCCATCCTTGACCTTTTGAGCAAGAAACATATCACAATCTGCTCCCTTAACAGTAAACTCCATCAGTAGTTGTTCAAAGAGAGTGCTCAGATTATTCTGGAATGTTGAGGAACTGCTCTTATCACCCTGATCAACATCTTGCACCCCGTTTCCCACAACACACCCGACTTGAGCACCTTGAGTGTATGCTCTGCATGCCACAAGGATGTTCCGGCCATGGTTGCGAAAATGTCCAGCAACAAAATCTTCAAAATGCTGAAAAGAAAAATGGCACCCAATAAACAAGTTCAAAATTGAAAATTTGAATCATATTCTCTAAGAATTCCAAAGAGGAACCAGCCTACTAATTAGCCAAATGATAGCATTGTCATGTCAAAGAGAAATCATCTAAATAACTTTGAAGAAATAAAAATACATATTAAAACATCAGGAGAGAAAATCCCCACCCCAAATCTTTGAAATAATATATTAACTCCTTTTCAAATAAGCTTCTCTCGAAATATAAATATTTTCATTTTTTTTAATAAAAAGTGTTTATTAATTTAAAATATAAAGGTGCAAAAGATAAATTCTGCGCTCAACAACACAGGTTAGTAGAGGTTAACTTCTTTATCTTTAAGATTGATCTAAAGCTGACTCTCGCTAATTTTGTCGAACGCTGGAGCTACTCCATCTCTTTCACAGATATATTCGTTTCACAGTTTGTCTCTAAGTGTAAAGCCACTCTCCACTGATGCATTCTCATCTTAGTAAAACTTAATTAATGCTTCTCTTTTACAGGCCAAATTATGCGCCATAAAATATTGCAGATCTCACCGCTATCTTATAAACTTTTCCTTTTAGTTTAAGGATTACTTTTCTATCACACATTAGGCTCGATGCATTCCTTTACTTAAAAATTAAAATTTGTGATTATTCACTCACCATAAATTAAATTAAAAAAAATTAAAAAGAGATAAATCACACCCATTCAATCAAGTTACCATATAATTTTAATTTTTGTATCATGCACATCTCTAAATATTATATTCTAAGCTTATTTCATACGCAACACTTTTTATTTTTAATTATTTTTTCCTTAGCTTACGTAAAAAATACTTTGAAATTAGATTTTGGAAGGCTTCAAGTAATTTTAAGAAAATACTAAAACTAAATAATATTTAATGATAATCTTAATCAATTTTTAATTTATTGTATTATTCAAGTCATAAAAAAATTTACTAACCTAACCTTTTAAACGCAATTCAATGACTCAAGATTACTAAAAGGTAAAGTCAATAGATTGAACTTAATAGATTCTAGGAGATTTCTCTGTTGGAGAAAACTAGGATTGCAACTAGAAATGAATTGAACAAGGCATTATTCATATCTTCAGCTAAGCCAACTAACATAGACGAAGCACTTGCTAATGTGTTCAAATATTTAACTATACAAGAAGAATTCCGCTGGTTAGAAATTTGAGAATTGATAACTCAACCCATAGATCCATGCCATAGAATAAATGGCCGTTCAGAATAAATTTAGTAATTCTGGTACAATGGAAAGCAAGACAACCAACTTGATTGTTAAGGATTTCAGTTTGATTGGAGTAATTGATTTTGAAAACCTTTGCCCCAGTTGCTGGGCTTATAGCCATTAGATTACCAGGAACATTTACAATCATTAAATACTTCATGTTTTTTCCATAAAATGTGAAGTGTGCACTTCTGAATTATATATATATATATTAACAACCACCAATTTAATAATTCTATACCTTCTACTCATATATTCAAAGTCACGAAAGCTTTTATACCGGTAGAAATAAGCAGATAGAGCTTAGTAGAATTGGTTGAGGACATTTATTTAGATGATGAATTTTGTAAAAGAACTATACAAGCTACACTATTTATCAAAAATTTATATTCAACTACGTTAATTATAGAAATATATATTTATAATATTGTATTTGGAGCTACTAGCGATATCATATGACCGGGATTCTCCCAAATTATGAGTAGTTTGAAGTGAATATAATAGGAAAATTAATCTGTTTTAAGATTCCAAATAAAACAGAGAAAAGTTGCAAGTTTTTGGGTCAATTTAAATGCTCAAAAGAGTTCATTAAAAAAAAATGAAAACAATGTAAGAGTGTGAATACACACAACTAGACAAAAATAAAAGTATTAAATTAGTTGATACAATTATCCCAATATATGATTTGAACATATTCAAATCATACCATATAATGAGTGGTATAATATTATATTTCGTGTATGTTAATATGTAAGATTTGATGCTGATACAAAGGATTCACATATGATATCATAGAAACACTTAACCTAAGGCATTTGGTGTTCTAAAGATAACGCATCATTTAAACTTATTGGCCGTTGAGGCTCTGCATTGCAAAACGTAAAATTGATGAAAAGAACAAATTTGATTTGTCAATTTTTTGTACCTTAAGAACCCATTTGGAAATAATTGACATAAATACTTAAACTTTATCCTTTAATTTTATTATTATATGCTTATTTTTAAAAAAGAATAAGTAAAAAATGATGGGATGGGAAAAACTATTAATTGGCATGACTATAGAGGCCATCAAAATTAAGAGGAGAAAAAATTTAAGCCTGTTTCAATCAGAGCCTTGGAATTCTGATTTTGTATGATCATATTGTACGAGGTTGTACTATATATTATCAGATTTTATGATCTGCCCTCATACAAGTGTGATGACTACATAGCCATCAGTTGTGAAAATATTAGGGGATTATAATTTTTTTTTTTTTAATTTCTTTTGAAGCATTGATCTTGTAAAGTTATCATCTCCCCATCTCAACTAACACCTTTCCAAATCTAAAAATAATAATAATATGTTTTATTTTTACCGTCACATTAGTTAAGAAAAAGTTGAGGCTTTAAAGAAAACTAAGTATGGAAAATCAGTAGGTCCTGATGATATCTCAATTGAAGTGTGAAAATGTTTAGGAGTCTCTTGGCTTACTAAACTCATTAATATTATTTTAAAAACTAAGAAGATATTTGAGGGGTAGAGGACTAGTTTTTTATCCCCATTTTTAAGAATAAAGGGGATGCACAAAAGTGTGCAAATTATAGAGGAATTAAGTTGATGTGTCATACTTTAAAAATAATGGGAGAGAGTAACTGAACATAAGTAAAGACATGATACAAAAATTTCTCATAATCAGTTTGAATTTATACCAAACAGGTCTACTATGGAAGCTATACATCTATTGAAAGATTTGATGGATTAGTGGAGAGAAAATAAGGAAAGTACAAAGACAATAAGGAGAATCTACATATGATTTTTACTGATTTAGAAAAAAAGTTTATGATAAGGTTCTAAGAGAAGTCCTTTGGAGAGTTCTAGAAAAGAAAGGTGTTGATATGACTTATATTCAAGTCAGTAAGGATATTAATACTAGAATTGTTAATTATGTTCGAACAAAAGGAGGATTTTCCTATTTCAGTTGGATTACATCAAGGATCGGCTTTAAGCCGATATCTTTTTGCTTTAGTTATGGATGCTCTTACTGGACCTTTACATAAGGATGTGTCTTAGCGTATGCTTTTCACTAGTGATATCCTTCTTGTGGATAAGACTAGAGAAAGAATTCAGAAAGAACTTGAATTATAGATGGACTCTAAAGGCCTTTCTTTGAGTAGGTCTAAAACTGAATACGTGGAATGTAATTTTAGCAATAGTAGCTCTAGTAGCAAAATTGTAAAGATGGGTGATCAAATCATTAAAAGGTGTGAACATTTAGATATCTCCAGTCTATTGTTCAAAGTGATGGTGATATAGATGAGGATGTTATTAGTGGAATTCATGTTGGTTGGTTTAAGTGGAGGAATGCTTTGAGCCTATTGTGCGATAGAAAAGTACCGCTTAGACTGAAAGGATAAGATGGTGTTAGAACTGAAATACTCTATGGCACAAAATGTTGGCCTTTAAAAGAAAAGCATAAAACAAAGTTAAAGTGTTGTTGAAAAGAGAATGCTTAGGCGGATCAGTGGGTTGAAACTTAGAGACAAAATGCGAAGTGAATATATCAATGATAGGGTTGGTGTAGCTCCAGTGGCAGACAAGATTAGAGAGAGTCGCCTTAGATGGTTTCATCACATTAAACATTAACCATCTGGAGATCCGGTTAGGAGAGTAAATGTTTTAGATTCGACTATGTTAAAAAAGGAAGAGGTAGACCTAAAAAGACTAGGCATTTTTGTATAAAAAAAATGATTTTAATCTAATAGAATTAAAAGAAAATATGACACTCAATGGGACGCAATGAAGAAAAAAGATTTATGTAGCCGACACTACTTAGTAGGATAAAAGCTTATTGTTGTTGTTATTGTTGTTTTTCGCTTATGATCTAAATCAAGGAGCACATGGTGCTCGAGTCTTGTAATTTTATTTCTTTTAGAACTTAGTTAAGAACCCTCTTTTTTTATGGGACGAGACTGTCTTGTGTTTTTATTTATCTCAATGCGTACTAGAAAGAGTAATTGTTGTTTGCATTACTCATAACTTTATTTTCATATTTGATATTAAATCAAATTGGCACTGTAAATTGTTTTTAAATTTAATACTAAAGTAGTATCTAATTTCTTATTGTAGTGTGTAGAAATCACTAATCTATTACATCATCTTAAAAATTGGTCATTCACGTATTTGTCCATCACATATAGCTCACATGTATTATTTAAATAGTTTTGTAATTAATTATAAATTTTAAAGTTATTATCAATACATAAATGCATAAATTTAGGGGAAGTTAGACTGACCATAAAGTTCAAAACCTTATCTATATAACTAGAATATATTTACTATCATCTAAAAGAGAAATATTGTAACCCCATGCGTTTATGTTTATAATTAACGTTTAAACAATCCCAAATATAAATTGGTATAAAGTATAAACTAATAATATTGATTAAGTTAAGTGAAGGTGTGAGCTAAATTAATTTAAGTCAAACTTAAAGTTAAAAATCAAGATTAAAAAACGTTCTAAATAACATTCATGGCACAAGAGAGGCCAATAACTTGATTAGCCAAAGTTAGCACGACAGAATTCTAGAACAAGCTTTAAAATGCAAAACTACTTCAATTATTTCTGAATCATCTATTACATTGTTATTGTATTTTTAATAGTTAGGAAAGCAAAAATTTAAAACTCAAAATTACTTAAACCAAATATTAAGCAAAATAGAGAAATTCAAAACTAATCATGTTGCCTAAAGAATGATCATAC